AAAAAAAAAAAAAAGTACATTGATTCACCATTATGTATTTTTTGTAAGCAATTTCCTGAAACAATTGACCACATTTTTTGGGATTGTGAAAAAATATATAAGATATGGAAAGGTATGGAAAGGTTTGGAAAGCTGGATAAATAAAAACCTTCAAATACAATTACAATTTTTAAAGGAAATGATAATACTTGGAATGAATGGAAAAAATAATAACTGTGTAAATGTTGTTATTATATTAGTAAAGGAAATTATCTATAGAAATAGTAAACAGAAAGTATTGCCATATATAACAAATATAAAGAGAGAAATTGTTAGATACTATAATATTACAAGATATATATTGTAGCCTCGCCTCGCGTGACTACAGGGGTTGTACACGTTTGAACAGACTCACAATTCGTAACAACTTGGTTTTGTAGTTTTTAATCATGAAGTCGTTCACTGAAATAATCAGTAACAATGAATCAAATATAATCAGCTCAAATAATAACACTAATTAATAATATTTCGTAGATAATCACATCGTATTCATTTCGAATTACAGTACACCTAAGCCTAGAGTATATTATTATAAACAGTATACCCAATAACATGTATAACTATTAGCACTTTATAGTATAAATTGTAAACAAATCGCGTAACATACGCGTTGCCGCCAACAACGACGCCACTCTACTACACGCGCGAGCATCTAGCTCGCAAACTTACAGCCACTGTACTGTATGCATATCATAAACGTAGGGTTAGGCCTAGCCTATATTGTCAAATAAACATTACTCTTTTCTGATAAAATAATAAAGTTTAGACTAAATTAATGCAATCATGTAATGCCTAAAATTATATGTTATATTACAGGGCCGGCGGAACGTTTTTCAAAGTGGGGGGCCCCACTTATAAGCAGGCGCGTAACAGGGTTCTTGGGTCAGGTGGGGGGGGGGGCGGCAAAGGTAATAGTTTTCCCGGTTAGTAATTTATGACTTGGTGTGATACCCCCACCCCCATATAGAAAACAATACGACATAGGGCTTATTTTATTATTAATATAGGGCACACACATGTGTTTGAAACTAAATAATAATAAGTATTTTCATCGTGGTTTTATTTATTACAATCATAGGCCTATTCTTTCACCATCATTACATATTGAGGCCCTTCTTTTAGGTAAAACGATCTATCTTAAATTTTCTTTCTTGGGTTTGGGTCTATGTGTTATAACTTAGAAAGGCAAAGGAGAGCAAGCACAATCTCTAACATGAAAAAATGCGCGCAAAGCGCGCGAAAAATTGTTGTGTTTTTTAATTCTAATTTCGTCGAAATTGATCAAAACTCCATAAAATGTGCAATTATTAGAGGAAATTGGCCTACCTCAACAAAATATGCGGTTTAAAATTTGAGATTTTCAGGAACTTTCCCGGGTGAAAAGGGCATTCAACGGGGAAAGATTTTCCACTGATGGATATTTTCCCCTTGTCCCCGGTGGTTACGCCACTGCGGAGAATACCTGGCGGCTTAGATCAAATTCGATATGGACACTTTTTGAAGTTGAGAAGGGGTTGCAGGCCGGGGTATTGTGATATCTGTTCATTATATCTTCCTTTTTATTCTTGTCTTTATTTTTCTCTTCTCCTTTTCTTTTCCTTTTTCTTTCCCCTTCTTTCTCTTTCCCTCCCTCTCCCCTCTTTCTTTTCTCTTCTTACCCAGCCCGGTACGACGGCTTGGTCAGCCCGGTAAAAACCGACAGTCTGCCCCCCCCCCCTGGCCCCTGCCTGTTACGCCACTGCTTATAAGATGAATGGGAATATGAATCATGCAGATCTGGAATCAAATTTAGGTGGTGGGGCCAAAATTCAAGGTTTTCCACTCCTGAAAACGGTCAGATAATTTTTTCCCATTGTTATTACAGTAAATAGGCCTTATGTGTGTATACATACATAAAAAAAGATTGAGTAAGTCTGTCTCTTATACACATCTTACTGTATATTACATAAGCAGAGCTTGACAGGTCACGATAGCGTTACAACTGTGCTTAGAACAACCATTGTGAAATATTGCAGATGACAGAATGATCAATTTAGCATTGCAATGGTAATCTTAAATTAAAAAAAATTATGTTGTATATAATTTTTAGTGTTATTTTTAAAAGAAAAAAAGACATCCAGCATTGTAGTTTTTCAACTACGTAACACAATGATGTGCATTTTGATACCGGGGAGTATGTATTATACTATCGTAACAAAGTAAAACTGAGGTTTTAACAAGATTGCAACAAGCCACTGGAGGGATGTTGAAATAACTAAAAAAAAAGGTTTGGCTACAAAAGAATAAAAGAAAAGAAAATTTGTAAGGCCACGAGAATGAAAGTTGTAGATTTGCGTCCGAAAACACATGAGGCATTTTTTCATTTTTCATTATTCATTATTTTTTTTATAAATGCTGTCCACAAGCCGCAGCATTGGTAATTTTACATTTATTCCCAAGAAACAATGCTTACAGTCATAAATGTACACTAGCCTATAAAACAGATCCTTTTCTACATTTAAGAACTCTTTAAACATACGAGATTTCCTATTGGTCAGAAAGATCGATTTGACCCGTAAATGACCTCAGTAGTGATCGGCAATCATGGTGTGATGTGGCCAGGCCTGCCTTCGCTCGGTGTTCGCGCCGAGTGATCAGTGATGAAAAGACCGTTTTTCTGTCTGTTTACGACTTAGAAAGTCTGTTTTTTAAAACGAAGTATATTTTTTTTCAAAATAATTAAAATTTTTGTGCGTTAGCTTTTTAGGCATGCGGGCGGTGGACGCAAATCTACAACTTTCATTCCCATGGCCTAATCATGTAATCTAACAGCAGTTACAGAAATATACAGTGGCGGATCAAAAATTTAGGAGGCCTCCCATGAATCCACTTGTCATTGCTAATGATAGCTTCATTCAATCTAATTTTACCTCTAGGAAAGTACACAGATACAGTACTTCTGGTACATCTAAGCCTGGTTGTCACTTCTTTGTGTTCTTATGCCATTTAAGATGGTTAAATTTTCTGTTTTCAAATTCATGCAGTAAAAAGTGGACAATTAAATACCAGCATTGATTGTTAAATAATCAGAGAGATGTTCGTTATAATTTCACGTTGTTTCCTATCACTGAGGAAGTCACAAAGCCAGGGAATGATCGATTCACGGACTCCAATTATTCCAAGTGGAGTTTGTGAATCGATCGTTCCCTGGCTTTGTGATTTCCTCAGTGACAGGAAACAAGTATAACGAGCATCTCTCTGATTATTTAACAATCAATGCTGGTATTTCCCAAGGATCTAAGTTTGGCTGTGAAGGATTTAAAATAATGATAAATGATGATGATTGTTAAAATGATGATGCTGCTAAAGAACTGCTCTGTTCTTAAGTATGTTGACGACCTCACAATTTATGAAAATGGAATAGTTAATTAGAGCAGTTTTTTACAAGAAGACCTTAATGCATTTGATGATTGGTGTATTGGTAACTCACTTAGTCTTAACTAAATGCCAAGTGCTTCAGGTTTGTTTAGCAAAAACCCCCCTAACCAGTCACTATTTATGGGTGACTCGCAACTTACCGTACCTTTGTTAATGAAGCTAAAATACTTTGTGTCACTATCCAAGGAAATCTAAAAATGGGACTCGCATATACATAATGTAATTAAAAAAGCTGATCAGAAACTCTATTTTCTGAAATGTCTTAAAAGGAACGGATTTGGTACTTGTGAATTATCCGTTGTTTACTCTACTTATTTTAGGCCTATCCTTGAGTATGCTGATGCTATATGGCACTCAGGACTTGCGTGTAAACTTAATAATTCTGTTGAAGCGATTCAAAAGAGGGCGTGTAGAATTATGTTAGACCTTGATTTTGGATCTTATGATAAAGCTCTTGCTAGGTTGAATCTCCCTTCTCTCTCTGAGAGGAGGGTATCCCATTGTCTTAAGCTTGCTAAAAACCTCTCTAACACTAATCACTCTGCCGATTTAATACCAACAACTCGTTTTAAAGTTAATAGTAGTAATCTGCGTAACAGTAACAATATTTCTCGCTTACCTATGCGCACCAAACAATTTTTCCATTAGCCCTATCCCTTATTACATTGATTTATTAACCGCAGACCGAATTTATGATTCTCTTTTTTATGTTGACTCTTGTTTTCGATTTTAATTGACTGTATTTTATTGTTGATCTGTATTTGTTTCTTACTATTCGATTTTAATTACTTGCTTTTTATTGTTGATTTGTTATGGTAATTTGCAATTTAGCCATTGACCACGATTATGTTACAAATTTTGATGAATTTATTAATAAAGTGATATATAAATATTCATTTCGTTAAGTAATGCTTTAATATATAAATATTCATTTCGTTAAGTAATGCTTTTTAATTTTTTCCTACAGAAACCAAAACTAAGCGATCACTGGAAAAGGTTGAAAAAAGGTGTTCTGACGAAGCGCCTTCTTAAGCATCTTTGGGAGGAGTTTCCAATACTTAACGACGACACAATGTTTAATTTTTTTGTCAACTTGATGAACAAATTTGGCCTCATATGCCAAAAAAAGAAACAGGTATGTTTGATCAAATAGATATAATTGATAGTGTAATAAATTTTCATTAGCATTTTAGATCTTTTTAAAAAGGATTGTGTCAAAATTTGAGCTTTAACCATTGACCAAGGTCAATAGATGAATGATAAAAAAAAGTGATTCTAAATATTAAACAATGACTATTGTAATAATAATAATTAAAATTTTTTTATATAGTGCCTAAAAAATGACCGATTCCTCTATTCGCTTTTGTCTAAAACTGTGGTAGAAAATTATCCCCTGCCTGACAGCAACCGGCATTTCAGAGTTTAGGTTTTGGGGCAAGGAATCACAAGGTTGGGCTTAACTGCATTCACTTAACTAAAATACCTGTATAACCCTTTTTTTGCACGTCCATAACAATCGTAAGATTCAGAATGTACTTTTGTAATAAAAAAGCGATGTTAGGCAATACCCATAGCTAATATAAAACTGATATTCCCTCAATAAAGATTTCATTAAAACATTCTTACTTCTTTGTGCAGTATTTTCCATCATTCAGTCACATTTTATAACGTAAATGCAGTAAATGAATGTCATTTCTATTCTTAAAATAAGCTGTCATGGCTAGGCCAGTAGGGTACATTACATCACACTTTACATCACACTTCACACAGCCTGAGTAGAGTGGTACCAGTGGTGGTCTGTTTTCCTAGCTGAGCCATGTCTACCTGGATGGAATAAAAATCGTAGCATTTTATTTCTTCTACAATACAGATATTTTCCATTAGTTGATAATTAAATATTACAATCGTTTTATGTAACATATTAATGCCTATATTGTCTGCAAGATTTCTAAAAATTACATGTCGCTTTGATAAATCTTGGTCAGCATCCACACACAGGCAAACTCCATGGAAATCAGGAGGGTATGAGATTGCTAAAAAAATCGGGGGAAACCACCAAAATCGAGGGAAACCACCAAAATCGGGGGAAACCACCAAAATCGGGGGAAACCACCAAAATCGGGGGAAAACCCACTAAAATCGGGAGCTCTAGCTATAATATAGGCTAAAAAAACATAATGTTAGGTTTCAGGATCATGTTAAAAAATGACTGGAAATTGTAAATTCGCAAAAATAAAAGGTTGAGAAATATTAAAAATTGTAAAATTGTGAAAATATAGGGCCACGATGAAAAGGGGCTATACAGTATTGTAAAAAAAAAAAATATCCCCGGCCGAACACCAAAATGGTATTTCTGAGTCTAGGTATTGGGGCAGGGAATTAATAACAATAATATGTCAGTCTTGCATACCACTTCATGCTTTCCTTGTAATTCAGTTATAAGTTTCACACTACAATATGTTTTTTTTTTTTATATTTTTTTTTTCGTTTACATCCAACAGCAAGTACACTTGCCACTTACATGATGAGAATGATGCTTTATAAACTAAGTCTCTTTATGAGGCTTAGTGAGTGGAGTTGATTTTTCGTGAGAAAAGGGATTGAACCCAGGACCCTGGGATCAGAAGGCAAGCATTTAACCACTGAACTATTCAACTCCCCAAAGAAGTTATCTCTCTCTGGACAATAACCCAGTATTTCTCAGTCAATTGAAGGTTTTAGGGCCGGAATTAAAAGCAGTGGCGAACCAGCGAAGGAACTGGGGCTTTAGCTCCCCCACCTGACAGGTCAAGCCTCCCCATGGACAGAGCTCGTCAGGCAGTCAGACTAAAGAAATGTGAAAATAGGCCCACGCCAAGCCAACACATGTCCGTTACAGTCTGCAAGTATCATTTCTGGCCATCCAGAGGTTCCTATTCTTAAAAAAATCACCCAGCTAGTGCCTACGAGCTCAAGTATCCCTGTCAGGCAGCTTAGGGGTGGGATCCAAGAAAATATATACAGAGCCACCACTGATTACAAGACAGGACAAGAAAAATCACTAATCATTCAAGTTTATAATGTAAATATACTTATTTTTATTAGTGGAATTCAGTGTATGTTGATTTCATCTAGTAAATGGCAAAAAATTGTACAAAGTACATGATGTTATGTACAGTTAATATGATGTATTCAGAAATCTACATTCTTTGTGTTAAGAAAATAGACCACATTGTCTAGTTCCTTACACATCTACCTATTCTAACATTTCTTTTTTTCCCTCACTTTCGTTGCTTCAACAGAATACTGATTCAGATGGTATTGCTTACTATGCTCTTTCACATTTACAACCAAAGCAATATTCAGATCCAAAAGATGACCAAGAGGATGACAAAGTATCCATCTTCCATGATTTCTGTGGTTTTCTTCCTGACCATTTATTCCATTTGGCTGTCACTAAATTCATTGAAGAGTTTGAAGTGGAAAATGAAAATGACAGTGAACTGGCATATGATCATGCAGAGTTTAGTATTGATGATCATCATTATGTGAGGATAGCAGTAGCAACTATCAATCACCGTAGGATGTTTAAGGTACAATTATACTTACTGTCCTCCTGTTTCTTATATTTACACTGCAAGGTTAGCCCTGTTGTCGTGGCATTCTTTTAAACTCCAAGTCAGCTTGAAATCTGCCAGTGTTTTATAAGCCATCTATCAATTGTATATTTATAGAAAAACAGCTACAATTGCAGGTACAATTATTCTTCAGATTTCGTCATTGTTGGTTGTAGTTTAGTATGTCTGCTAAAAAGTCACTTAATATGAATTTATTAAATAAAAGTAGAAAGTTGAAAGGAAGATGATAAACTATAAAGGTGGTGAGCGGTATAGGATAGGTGGTGAATTGGGCAGAACTCCGGGAGACAATTCCTACTCTTTTCCGAAAAAATTAACACATTGTCTTGCTGATTACTTCAAAATCTCATAATTGTAGTGATGTCATTGTGCCACACAGCCGATTTAATATGCATGTTACAAGTCTCACATGCACACATTCATAGCCATATATATTCAGTGACAATACCACAATACCGCATTCGAACACGTGCGGAACATGTGTATATGCTAGTTTTTAATAACATTTACAAACTGAAAACCAAAGAAAGGAGACTAATGTTCATATAGTGCCTAATAAAATTGTGTTTTATGGTAAACTGGTATTGCACAACTTTCTAAGAAATAATTTGGAGGTCTAAATGCACTCTAAAGAGTATCCCCAACACTTGATATTTAATAGTTTTGAATTTTTTTTGTGTGGGGGTGGGGTGGTGGTGGAGATTGACATTGATTGGTTCTACCAATTGCGGTAGAACGTCGGTGCGACAACACCTATTGTTTGTCGCTCTCCGTCTTTACATGAATATCCTGGATTTAATGCTGAATGGATTACCCCTTAAATTGACTAAGGACAGAGACTACTACTTTTCTAGGGCTCACAAAACAAATAATACCCTTGATTGGGCAAGAGCTAAAGAACTTAGGAATCATAACTTCTTTCCAAATAATGTAGCTCTGTAGAAGGTGTGGCTGGGCAAGCCGACCTCGGCCCCTTTAAATTTTTTGAAAATTATAAAGAATTAAGAAAAAAAAACATACTGTTTTAAGTTAAAATTAATTTAAGTCCTCAACCCCAAACATGGTGGGGCCAGATGAGATGGGTGGACCCGGATCATTTTTGTGAAAGTCCCTCCCTTGACCCCCCTCTATTTCTAATTCCTGAATCCACAACGAACAATCGCTCTCTGGCCTGGTAAAGTATGGATGTATTCACTTAAAAACAACAACAAAGTGATTTATTGCTTTCCCTACCCTACTCCCAATCAGATCAGTAGGCTTATTTTATGAATTCTTTTTAATTTATTTGACATCTGCCCATCTTATCCATGATGTAAAGCGTTTGTCATTGTTTGTTCATAATTGCAATGTCCATTAATTCCATTTATTTATAATATAACATTTACATTTGTGGTAAAAATTTAGTATTTTCAATGCCCAATAATATTATAGGTTTTTTTTCCTGGTGCGCTATAGACCTACATTATTTCTTTCACATTGTTCTATAATTTTACATAGCATGTTGACATATGTAGTGAAAATCTGAAACACCACGTAGTTTAAAGTGGCATGTTTCACATCTGTGCTATGTGTATATCTAATTTGTAGAGATTTATTTTACTCCAACCTTGTTCTCACCCCCCACATTTTAGTCCCCTTTCCTCAAATTTGCAGCCACCCAATAAAAATCTTGTATATGAGCCTAAGTGGTGGATCTAGGAATTTGAAACACGGGGCCCAGAGAGGGGGGCCTTCAAAGATAGAGTGTGCAAGAACCTTAGTCCCCATGATGGTTCGGGCAGAGGTAAAAAAAAATATATGGTTATGGCACCTCTAGATGGCCGCAAAGGGCACTCTTAGATATAAATTTCATTACAATTTTCTTTTTTTAATCCATTTCTTTTTTTTTAATTTTGAAAAATATAAGGGGAGGGCAAGCCAGTCCTCAAATCCACTACTGCCATCAAAAGCCAAAAATTGCTCTTTGATGCACATGGTTATAGCATTTTAACAAGGGGCACTCAATAAGTATTAATAATTTTTTTAAATGTGTAACTGAAGTAAAAAATAGGAGAAATTATTTTTTTTTTACTATAAAAAATATTATTTCAATATAATATTTATCATCTCAGCAAAATGTTGGTCAGACGGCTGCCTCATCTACCGGACCACTTCCGCCGCCCATTTTATCTGTGATTTCATCTGTATTTTCTAGTATTGGAATAATGATATAAGGAAGCAAATAATAGGTAATAATTTTTTGTGTAATTTTCTGTAGACAACAGTTGTGAGGAGGCAAGAACTTGAAGCTTCTTGTGTTATGGAACCAGAACCTGCAACATGTAAAAAGGTATGAGAACAGTTATTTAATATTGATTTACAAGTTTCCCTCCACCTAGGTTTATAGAGATCATAGGATGCTGTTCAGGAAGTAAAGATATTTGCACCAGGAAAGAGTGCATGGAGAGCTTTTGAACTGGACATAAGTGGGTTCAACCCACTTATGTCCAGTAACAGTATGTTTTTTTTTCTTAATTCACTCAGATCCAGTAAAGATCAATTTGCATAAACAAATCACACAGTGCAAGGCCAATGTTGATCTTTTATATAACCCCAAGATAATGTGAAGTTGAAACTACTAAATGATTTATTTAAGTGTTCTCATTAATGTAGCAGTTGGTCAATCAGGCATTTCAATCTAATGCTTTCCATTTTACCTAATGTCCTTGCTCATGCACATTATGTTTAATGTTGTCTCTCCTGGATTATTTATTAGTAATTGGAAAATATTCACCATAATTAGTCATCTTTTCATTATCAAATTATAATCAATGACAATGGCTCTTAGTAACTATTTTCATTTTGGTTTGTGCAGGTATTGTCATTTCTTCAAAATGTCCTTAAGAATTTGTGCTTACCTGCAAGAGGGATTCATTGCAATATGTGTATACGTTGTAGTTATAGTGAAAAATGTCAGGGCATGCCCGATGTTAAACATTTCAACAAAGATATGGTGCGATGTGGAAAGCATATGACGAACATCAAACGCTACTGCAAATTGTTTGGAGGTGAGATTTTACAGTTACTTGTTTATTTGCTTGTTTGTTTATTTTTAGCATATATTTATGTATTTTTATTTATTAGATACTTGCTTTTCCTGTAAATCCTCAGTTGGACGTAGCATCCCTGATATGCTAAACACAAGGAAGCTCTTTGCTATTCTGCCTGCTTCAACCATGCTGATGTTTAGCTGTTCTCTACCTCTCTTCCATGAATGTCTTTTCTAGACAGTTGTGATGTTTTCAATTCAGTGTGACCAAAGTATTTTCCAGTTTCTTCAATTCCCAATTGTTTCTTATTGATTGATTTGTTCTGTATTCCCTCCATGAAACAGGCATTACTCTTTGGTAAAACTTAATGTCAAAAACATTTAAGCCAGCATTCACCTTTTAATTTAGAATCCAGGACTCGCATCCATATAAGCACACTCTTATGATTGGAGAATATCAAATTTACTCCTTGGTGTTATTATGGATGCTACTCTGACAATGAATAATCACATCTCTAAAATTACCTCCACTTTATCTTTCCATATACGCAACATTCGTAGTATTAGAAAATACATTGACAAAACAGCAGCCGAACAACTTGTGCACTCATTTGTCACCTCCCGTCTCGACATGGGTAACTCCCTGTTATATGGACTTCCACAAAAACATTTACACCATCTTCAATTAATTCAAAATTTGGCTGCACGTCTGATCACTAAAACTCCAAAATATGCACATATTACCAACATTCTGAAAGATTTATACTGGCTTCCTCTAACGCACAGGATTATTTACAAAATTTTGCTGATCGTTTTTAAAATAAAAAATGACTTGGTTCCAGACTACATCGCAGATATGTTCCATTGGTATGCTCCTAAACGTAACTTACGTTCTTCCGATCAACTCCTCCTGCATCAGCCCAAATCACACAATTCCTGGGTAGACAGAGCTTTTTCTGCGCCCGCTCCACGCTTGTGGAACAATCTGTCTTTCACAATTAGATCCAGTGAGTCAATAAATACTTCCAAATTGTCTCTGAAATAACAAGATAAGAAAACATAAGAAAGAGAAAAGAAAAGAAACAGGAAACTTAAGAAATATAATGAAAAGGAATGGATAATAAACATAAGAAAGAAAAATGAAAGAAAAGAAAATTTCACATGAGAAAGAACAAGGAAAGAAAGATATGCTGACATGAGTAAGAAAAGAGAAAGAAAATAAGGAATCATAAGAAACAATCATAAGAAACAAGAGAATTAAGAAAGATAATGAAAAGGAATAGATAAGGAATCATAAGAAAGAAAAATGAAAAGAAAAGGCCACATGAGAAAGAACTAGAAAAGAAAGATAAGGTAACATGAGAAATGAATAGAGAAGTTAAAAAAAAATATTTAAAAAATAATAAAAAAATATAGAAACAAGGAATACATCAGAAAGGAAAAGTAAAGGTAAGTAATTTGGTAACATAAGAAAAATAAGGAAAAGATAAGAAAAGGGAACATAAGATGCAATGAAATTAAATGTAAAATATTCCAGGAAAAACTGACAAGGTAATATCTGACAAAGAAATGATAGTTGGTATACCTGCTTAGTGAGTTAGCAAGAAATAGAAAGGATGTTATCACTTTGAGAAAGTGAAAAGGTAGGTCTACATTTTGATTTCTTGTGCTGCTTAATTTCCAATAATAAATAAATTTAAAAAAATAAATAAACATGTTTACACTTTGTTCTTTGTGATTCCTGTTTGTTCTCTACCTGTTCTTTGACCCTGCGCCTTGAGCACCTATTTTTGGTGGTGATGTTTGCGCTTTAAAAATCATTATTATTATTATTATTTATTATTTGATTGAAACTATTGTATTAATGTTCTTTTGTATTTAATATCTTTTTAGTATTGTTCATCCCAATTTTCTATCCTTTTAATTTTGCCAATCTTGCTAGCACTTTTATGAATGTTTGTCCCTAAATATTCTTATCTGGTTACAATTTCAAGTGGTTCACCATCTATCAGGATTATCGGATTAACTTCTGATTTGTTTTAATAACTTTTGTCTTCGTCCCATTCCTTTTCAGTTTTTTTTTCTTTCGCCATCTTCTTGAACAGCATCGAAGAGATTCTTTAGAGGTGGGTTCACATTTCGTGAGACCATACCCACCACAGCTTCACCATGAAATTTTGAGGAAATAGTACCTCTAGATGGCCGAATATGACACTCTTATATAGTAAAGTCATGGTAAATTGCATTGGATGTCTTGAGGAAATTCATTTCAGATGTTTTCCCACTGCGACTTTAAAGACTTGAATCCCCAAAGGTTTTGTCCGGTGTTTGTAGAGCAGCAAAAGATCAGCTGATTCGATTTCAAATTATGAAAAGTGTAGGTTGTGGCACCGAGACCTCTGATGATTAGTGCCCAAAATTCTTTACAAAAACTTAATGCAATAATAGCATATTGACTACTATTGTATATTTTCGGGAAATATTTCAGCTGCTCCAAATCTCTTTCCTATTCTTCCTTCTTCCTTTATTCTTTCACAATTTTGCGTTTTTTTCATATTTTTCATAATTTTATACACTCACATATAGTCATTTGTTTAGGCCTAGTCGAGGCTAGACCTCGGCTATGCCTATTACTATATTATTTAAATATACAATTTTAATAGATAAGATTAATTTAACATGGACATAGTAATTCATACTTAAACAGTACATTAAATTTATATATTATTATAATAACGTTAACAAATACCGGTAAATAACAATAACTAAACCGTGTACATAGTGTATCGCTACTACAATAATAAGATTAAAATTTTCAATCTTATAATAAATTTTATACAGCCGGTGTTATGTATTGACCTAGGCTACTATGGCTAATGACAGGTACGCTTTCACCATTAAGGGCTTTTTCTATGAATGGAATGACCTGTATGAAACACGAGCTCCTGTAGACCAAACCCAGTACCGTTACGATTTTAATCGTGCGGGAAATATCCTCAAGATCATAACGTTTTGTATGGAGTCACAATTCAGTTAGTTGATGTAAACTGGTGAAACAATGTGCAAAGGCTCTAAAGACAAGCAATCCTAGCTTATACTCGATTCGTTGTTTCACAAGCAGCCAATGTAGCACCTTTAATACAGGACATGTTCTTGTTTTTTCATAAAATACAAATCTGTTCAATTTGTGTGATATACCATAGAAAATAAAGCTTAAAAATATTGTCTTTGATGTAATTATTTTACTTAACTACTTTGAAGCCGTGAGCCCACATTCACTTTGTCTTCACCTCAGTTCGGGCTGAGGTGCCAAAATTTGTGGAAAAAGTACCTCTAGATGGCCTGAATTGACACATACCAGTATATAGTGAAATTCATTATCACATCACCAATGAAGCACCAACAAATTTCACATGATCTTTTATGAGCGATTTTTGGCAATCAAAGATCTAAATAACCTTTGTCATCTACAATAGTTGATACAAATGCAGTAGACCAGGCTATAATTGAGATAGGTGCCACTTGGAGAGGTAGAAATTCTCATATGGTTTTTCTAGACCAGTTTTTTATGGGGAATCAGAATATGTAAGGTAAAAGGGGTGTAACCTGAGAACTTTCGCGTGAGGGCGCTTTTTAAAAATGGCCGCAAAAATCCAATAAACTACATATATATTGGTAAAATAAGCACAAAAGAGGTAGGTTTGACCAACTTTTGAATATGTAATGATAGGAGTAAAGTATAACTAGCTAAAGTTATTGATGTGAAGATTTCGGAAGGCAATTGAGGGCGCTTTTTAAAATGGCCGCCAAAATTAAATAACAACTTAACAGCAGCTTCAATACCCTAGATAAATTTGTTTAATT